GGGTTTAGGGTTTAGGGTTAACGGCAACTAGACCCTATACACCCTAAACATCTACTGCATGTTCGGACATCCCGCCGAGGCCAATGCGCCGTCTGCTTCAACGCTGCTCCTACGCTGCGGAAGTGGGAGTTTGATGGCTGAGGCCTTCCACTCTGTAAGGGTTCCAGAAGGGCTTCACAGGGATCTACAAAGGTTTCCTGACAGTTTCAGAAGGGATCTATAACCCTGAACCCTAAACACTAAACTTGTAAATCTATAAGTGCACTTTCATAATCGGATACTATGAATCCCTATATGGTATATGAACCCTAATCCCTTTTAGGTGTTATTTCGTCCTCAAAGAAGGGCACTAAAAAGGGTGCTACTCGCACCCTAAACCCTAAACCCTAAAACCCAAAAGCCCGAAACCCTAAACCCTAAACCCTAAACCTAAACCCCAAACCGCAATGGTCCACCTTGATGAGACCCAGAATGCGTAATTCGAGGCTTGGTCTGGTCCTTAGGCTCCCAAAGCGGGTTTCATGCGCTTAAGACCAGAGCTCTTAGGGTTCAGGGATTAGGGGTTTAGGGTTTAGGGTTTAAGGGCTTAGGGATTAGGGATTAGGGATTAGGGTTTAGGGTTTAAGGTTTAGGGATTAGGGTAGGGTTTTAGGGTTTAGGGTTTCGGGTTTTTGGGTTTTTGGGTTTTTGGGTTTTTGGGTTTGGGTGGTTTTGAGATGCAGGTGTTTGGGATCAAGATGGGGCTCTAGAGTTGAAAATGTCAAACCTGTAGACTCTATGGCTCTGCAAATCAAAGCTTACATACACAGGGTTTAGGGTTTAGGGTTTAGGGTTTAGGTTTTAGGGTTTAGGGGTCAGGGCTGTAGGGTTGTAGGGTTGTACCGTTTAAGGTCGCATCGAGGGAGAGAGACGAAGTAGTATACAAATTGCAGCGTAAGCACCCGAATGGGCCTAGAAAGAACCCCGCCTACTCGTAACCTACATGGTGCCTTGATCCTTCAAGTATGCCGCCGCACACCCCGCGAAACCCTGAGCCACCTAAACCTGAACCTCAAACCCTCCAAACTCAGAGATCCTGCGCCCCTACATTCCCAAAGCAGAAACCCTCCCCAAAGCAGAAACCCTACGAAAACCCCGGAACCCCAAAACCCCCAAAACCACCAAAACCGCCAAAAAGCCCTAAAAACCCTAAACCCTAAACCCTAAACCCTAAAAGCCGCCGAAGGAGGCGCCTCCGGTCGATCGGCAGCGTGGCCAGCACAGTGAACTGCGCGAGGTCCGGTGCCCAGGCCAGCACTTTGGAGCCTGGGCTTTGGGCAGCTTTCGGGTTTAGGGTTTAGGGCTTTGTTTGGGTTTTAGGGTTTAGGGTTTAGGGTTTAGGGTTTATGGTTTAGGGTTTAGGGTTTAGGGTTTAGGGTTTAGGGTATTAGGCTTTGGGCATTTTGCAAAGGGCTTAAGGGCTTTAGGGTTTAGGGCTTAGGGCTTAGGGTTTTAGGGTTTGGGGTTGGAGGATTTAGGGTTTTAGGATTTAGGGTTTAGGGTTTAGGGCTTAGGGTTTTAGGGTTTGGGGTTTTGGGTTTTAGGGCTTTAGGATTTAGGGTTTAGGGTTTAGGGCTTAGGGTTTTAGGGTTTAGGGTTTGGGGTTTTAGGACCCAGGGATTTAGGCTTTAGGGTTTAGGGCTTAGGGTTTTAGGGATTCGGGTTTAGGGTTTTAGGATTTAAGGCTTTAGGGTTCAGGG